TGGGCGCGGGGGGGTGGAATCGGCGCGGTGGCTAATGCACCCGGGGCGCACGGCCTGGGAGGTTGCGCCTGCCAAGCAGGGCTGGGTCCTGCCCCAGGGCGAGGGGTCCCAGGGTGGAAAAGGCTGGGACTCTCCCATCCTCTCTTGTCCCGGACCCGGGGGTGCTGCCCGCTTGGAGGTGCACTGCATGCGGCCGGGGTTGGCCTGTCCTTGGCACTAGTGAGGGGCTGTTGGAGAGCCAGGAGCTCTGGGCAGGACACTGATGGGTCCCCAGTGTTGCCAAACTACGATTCACGCACCATAATGAGGCCCTGATCTGTGCCTAAGGGGTTTGTGTGCCTGACCCTGGGCTGTTACCCCTGGTGCTCCTGCCCCAGCCACCTGGGACGAAGGGAAGTGAGTACCATCCTTCAGGGTATTGCAAAAAGGCTGCAGCGTTGCAAAAAGCCCAGCTCTGGCTGCTGCCTCTCAGCCCTGATGCCATCTGCATGCCCGATGGGCCAGGGCTCCCCATGCGCCTGCTCCGTCTTGGCACGGGGTGGCACAGAGCAGAGCAGGCACCCGTGGCTCCGGGCTCGTCTGCAGGAGAGGCTTGGCGCTGGTGTCTGCATCTCAGTGCTGTCACACGATGCAACAGCTGGGCCCGAAAGGGAGACGGGCTGGGAAGGGGCAGCCTAGCAGCGGTGTTGGGAGCCCAGGGGCATGTGCATCGCCCTCCGTCCTTGCGGCAGAGCTGGTGGGGTGTGGAGGACCGGCCGGGGGCTCAGCTTGGGGGACGTGCATTGGGACCGTCGGGGCTGCTGTAACGAGAGCGGTGCAGGGGTTTTGCTGGGAGACACTGAGAGAGGCCCCAGGTGCTTGAGAGCCTTGTAGTTCGCAGGGCAGGGAGCTGAGCACCACGATCCCGGGCTCTCTGCAGCCCTAGCCGGTCCCACCCCGGCCCAGGCAAGTTGGTGCCAGAGCCCGTCTCCTCCCGGGTGCCGGGATGGGCAGGCAGGGCTCGGGGACCTCAGCTGCTGCAGCGACGGTGCAGAAAGGGCAGCGTGTGGCCGTGGTTGTGCACCGGGGTACAGGACTGTGCACAAAGCTTTGCATGACCACCAGCCCCGTGCCCGGAGCTCCGCGTTGCCAGACGCTCGTGCCCTGGTGGTGTCGGCTGACTCAAAGAGGCCCCCACCGCTGTGCCCGGGCGGGATGGGCCCGTAGCAGCTCATCGCCGCGTGCCGGCGGTCCCCCAAGGCTGCTTTCCTCCATGCTCCGGCGCTTCCCAAACTGGAGCTTCTCCAGTCCCGGGTGCCGGGAATTGCTCGGCAACGTCCTTCCGAACCATCAAGCAACGTCATTGCAACGAGAGGTTTCCAGGCAATGCTTCCACCTGGAAGTGTGTTTTAGTGCACTTTACTTCCCCCCCCAAAATAAGGGGGGGATGAAACCCAAGAGGTGCTGAGAGCAGCCTGCCGCCCACCGCGGCCAGACCGGGCCTGGCTATGGAGAAGGCCGCTGTGACCTGTCCGGGAGGACGTGACGATCGGTCACTTGCTGGGGTTTGTGCTGCCCTTGCTCTCCCCGTGCAAGGCAGGTCTCTGCTCGGCACCAGGAGATGGACCCGTCTCCAGCGCAGTCCCCATCTCTGCAGGATGCAGCGAGCACGGAGGGGGATGTGAACGGGAGCGTGTCGGAGGATAAGGGGAGGTTGGAAAGAGGAGAGCAAAGAAAAGGGTGGGGACGGCGGGGGGAAGGCATACGAGGCAAGGCTGGGAGACGTGGGGTTAGTGAGTCTCGAGAGAGAAGACGGAGCGATCAGGCAAATCTTCCAGTGCAGACGGGGCGGCAGGAGGAGGATCGCAAGCAATTGTCTGCACGCACAAGGCACGGGACCAGCGGGAGATTTAGCAGCTCTGAGGGTGGTCCGGTGCTGGGAGCTCCCCCTTGTCCTCGACCCCTCAACAGCTGCCAGGCGGGGTGCTCGGCTGGGGCGGGATTGGGGTGAGCTCTGCCTTGCCCTGAGAGCCTTTAGGAAAAGGGCCCGGCTGTCCTGGGAAGCGTTAGGACCGGCCTCGGGCCTCGCTCCAAGTCCCTCGCCCTCACGCCGGCCTGGGGTCAGTGCTGGGCGCGTCCTGCCGGCGTCTCCGGTCTCGTGGCGCACAGCTCGTGCCTCCTGCTGCAGGTCGACGTGGGGGGGAGACGGTGCAGCGGTCGCAGGGGGGTCCCGGGACTGCTTCCCGTGAGCATCTTCATGGGCTGAGAAAGCTGCTGCGGTCACGGGCATTTTCCCTTCCCGTGTTTGAACACTGCTCAAACCAGCTCCGTGGAGGAGTAACGGGCTTCGAACGGGGGAGGTAATCGAGTCTGAAATCGTCTCCGCTGGCACCGTCGGGCCGCTCCGTCTGCACGGAGGAGCAGGCGCTGTCGGAGGCCCGAGCGGCGGGGACATGGGCAGGCGTGCAAATACCCCTGACTTCAGTATAACGAGCATTGCCTGCCGGGGGGCAGCTGGGAGCCGGGGCTCGTGCCCAGCCTGCCTGCACCGGGCTGAAGGCCTTTTGCCCCTGCCAGCTTTGCCCTGCTGTCCTGCCGTTCGCTTCAGCGCTGGCGCGTCGGGGTCAGCGAGCAAAGCACCGGGCCCTAGACGTGCGAACGAAACGCCCGCGTGGTCTCCACGCTCCCAGCAAGGACTCACGGGCTTGCCAGCTCCTGGGGCGGCTTCCCAAAGGCCTGGCCAGGGAAGCCACGCGTGGGGCTGGGGTCCCGCGCCGTGCCACGCGCTACAAGCGGCATCTCCGAGGGGGGCCACGTGCGAAGGCCTCGTGGTGGATACTGCCGTGGGGAGCAGCACCCCGTACAAGTCAGCCTCCTTCCAGGCCTTCGCGGGCTCAACGTACCGCTGGCACGTGCACCCCCTCTCGCTGCGGAAAGCAAAGGCTTGGGCATCGGCAGAGATTTCCCGTGCTTCGCACGGCCCCGGCGTGTTGCTCGCGCGGGTGGAGGCAGCTGAGCTCAGCAGGTTTTCTGTGTTGCTAGCGGGGGGGCCGGGGGCCGGTTTGTTCCAGGGATCAAGCCTCTGGCTCCAAAAGCCCTGAAACAGGGCTGTGCGGGGCATTGTTTGAGGGCGGTGGGCCCGGCCTTGGCGCGCGTTTTGGCTGACACTTGCAAACTGCAAAGCTCCTTGCCAACAAACCTGACAAAGCAGGCGCTGCAAATGTGACAGCTAATGAAATACCTCCCCGGCTCGGGGCTTCGCGACACAATGGTGCCGGCGGACCAGCTGACCCGCGTTTCCATTGAGGGCTAATCCCGCATTCTCCCTCGGGGCGCGGCGCGGGCTAGTTTGTAAATAGCGTTGGCACCGTTCCCCCGCGCCGCGGTATAAATTGCACCCTCAGCCCCAGCCCGGCACTGGCTCAAGCAGGTACTGGTACAACGGGTAAGAAACATCTCTCTCTCTTCTCCTTCTTTGCTCTGGTTTCCATCGCCACGCCGGGCCAAGGCAAAATAGCTGGAGCACGGGCTCTGGTCCGGCGAGGAGGCAACCGGGAGAGGAAGGCAGTGAGTTGGTAGCAGACCGCGGCCGGGATGGCCTGATCGCATTTAGGAGGGAACCGCTTGTTTTCCCGGGGTCTGAGCTTTGGATTTTGAATAACGCTGAACGTTGCTGGGTCCTGGCGCTCCTCGCCCTGGCGTCACCCGCCGCTCACGTTGCTGGGTGAGAGTCGTGGGGAAAAGCCTCCGGATCCTCCGTCGCTTTCTCCGGCGCCGCGAAGGTCCCCGAGGCTTGGGCTTGCCCCAATCCTATAACCGCGGTGCACGGCCCGGGCCGTGGAGGACGGAGCTGGGGAGCAGCTCGGGCAGAAGTCGCTCCCCTTTCCACCCCGGGGGCGCAGGCCTCGGCTCTTCCCTTGTCGGTGCCCGGGAAGGCGCTTGTCTCTGGTCTGGTTCTGCCCGGCGTTGGCATAAAGGGACCCGCGGCGGTCCATCCTCCTCGCTCGCGCCGCAGCCCCGTTTCGGCTGCTTTCTCCTGTCTCGTCCCTCCGGAGGAGTCGTCGGGCCCCGCGGCTCTGCTACAGATCCCCGTGCGCCCCCATCGTAGCGGGGCAGTTCGCATGGGGGAGCGAGCCCACCCTTTCCCCACCCTTGCTCCCACACTTGCATCGAACGACCCCTTAGAAAGACCCGCGGAGACGGGGTGCAGGGTCCTGGCCGAGCGGTCAGCGCAGACTGTTAACCTGTCGCGTTTTCTCCCCAAAGCAACAGCCCACCTGGGTCAGCATGGCTTCTGAACATCACCTGCCGCTCTCTAAGCAACAGACCAACCCGAAGGTCAGTCCTTGTCCCTCGCGGGCCGCGCCGGGAGCCGGAGCAGGCGACCTGTCCGGTGCAAAGCGCGTGCACGCGTGCAAATACCCGTCTCCCATCCTGGCCCAGCGTGCAGCCCGGGGCTCTCCTCTCTCTGACGCTGCAGATGGGAATGGGGGGAGTGGGCTGCTCTTAGCCGCACCTTGCTCGGCTCTGGCCCTGAAGCACCATCCGGCTAGCGGCTGAGATGGACGTGCGCCCTACGGCTGGCAGCGTCCCGCGAGCCCGCGGCACCCTCCTCGCACCGGTGGTGACTCGGGATGGGCCCAGCGTGCTAACGAATAATGCAGAGCAAGGGAGGAATAAAGCCCCGTCCCCCATGCGCCTCGATGCGGGCAGATGGGACCAAGGACGAGGCTGCTACAAGCGTCTCGGTGCTCAGCTCGTCCCTCGGGAGTGGGCGATGGTGGGGCGGTGGGCGCCGTGCCCTCGTTCAGGCCCCGTCGAGCTCCTACGGACACGGTTGGAAAGAGCCCCTAATCCCATCTGCTCCCTGCAGACACAACAAATCCTCTCCTGGTAGCTTCGCTGACCCATGAAACCCATGCTGAGCCGGCAGATCCCGGCTCACTGGACGGTGCCTTAATCTGCTCCACCCATCCCTAATCCCTGTTGATCTTGCTGGGACTCACATACCCCCGGGGACCAGACGCTGCCCCGCCGGAGCGGCCTGGGCCTCCGGCTGGAAGGCAACCTGCCGGCCGAGGTTTAAAGCCTTGGGGTGGTCAGTAGGGTTGAGGAAATGCTCGGCGCGGCCCCGCCGTGTGCTGACAGGGAGGGTCCGGGCTGCACACGCGCCATGTGTTTCCTGGCCTAGACTCGGGGACCAGGTGTGAAAGTGGCTCGGTATTTGTAGCAAGGATATAAGGCGAGCACAGCCCTAGGTGACCCTCTGCAAGGGTGTGTGGGTGCAGCACCAAACAGGGGCTCGTATGCATCTCAACGGCCCAGCTCGGAGCCCGGTCCGTGCCGGGAGTCACCGAGGTGGGTGGCGATGCTCGTGGGAGAGGCCCCGGGTGCCAGGCAGGGATACGCGACCCGGCTCCGGGCGTGGGCACCGTGGCTCACACGGCTCCGTCCTGCGTTGCAGATCGCCATCTTCGAGCAGGAAAACTTCCAGGGGCGCTGCCATGAAATCAATGGGTCCTGCACCAGTTTGAAGGAAGCCGGAGTGGAGAAAGTGGGCTCCATCCTGGTGCACTCTGGACCGTACGTATCTGCCGGGAGCGGAGGCAGGCAGCGGGCCTGGGCTGGGCCGGGGGCGCTGAGGCAGGGTCAGGGGCTGCGAGCGACGGGGAGAGCCGGTGCAAGGCAAAGGGCAGTGCTGCAGGAGTTTCCCTCCTCCTGCCAGGGGCACGCATAGCCTGAGCACGGGGCCGAGGGAGACGGCATCTCCGTGAGCAGGAGGAGCGCGTGGTGCATCGAGGGTGGGCTCGATGGCCCTTAAGGTCCCTCCGGCCCCAGGGAGCAGACACCACCAGACTAGCGTTTCAGGACGGGTAGCACCAGGGCATCCCGGCGCGAGCCCCGTGGCTGATGCCCGTGCGTGGCTCTGTTGCAGCTGGGTTGGTTACGAGCAGGCCAACTGCAAAGGGGAGCAGTTCGTGTTCGAGAAGGGAGAGTACCCGCGCTGGGATGCCTGGACCAACAGCCGGAGGAGCGACATCATCGGGTCCCTGCGACCCATCAAAGTGGTGAGCGCGCGTTCGGGAGCCGCGCAGGGGAGCCCGGGGCGCCCATCCGTGTGCGAGCCGGAGGAGGAGGGGGCGAGCCCCCGTGTGCTCACACCTGCATGCTCACGCTTCCCCAGGGGTGTGCACACGCCCAGATGGGAGCACGGGTCAGCCAGCCCTACAGCATCCCAGTAGGAGCCAGACTCCCCGATAACCCCCAAGACCCCTGCAAGGCACCGCGTTTCCTTGCCCCGGCTGACCCCCCCGTTGCTGCCTTCTCCCCTTCAGGACAGCCAAGAGCACAAGATCGTTCTCTTCGAAAACCCCAGCTTCACTGGCAAGAAGATCGAGATCATCGATGACGACGTGCCCAGCTTCCACGCTCACGGCTACCAGGAGAAGGTGTCCTCCGTGAGGGTGCAGAGTGGCACGTGAGTACCTTGCACGCCCGGCCCCTTAGGATCCGGGGCTCCGTGTCTCCGGGCTCGACCCAGGGACAAAGTCATTGCACGGACGGGTCGCGGCTCTCCGGCCTCGCTGCAGCAACCTCCCCGCTTTACATGTCAAATCCGTGCACGCGGTCGTGTCGGTCGCTCGGCGGCTCCGCTCCGGGCCTGGCCAGGAGGCAGCCGGGGCTGAAAGCAGGAGAGAGGGGCGTGACCTGGGAGGAGGTCGGGGAGCACCGGTTTGAACCCTGGGGTGCAGCACAGGGATGGGAGGTTCACCCCCGGGGGACCCCAAGGCGTCTGCCCCATCCCGACCCGCTAGGACCCCGCGTGCAGGGCGGCGATGGGCTCCGGGGGCCGCGCCGGGCCGGCTGGCCTCTCTCCTGGCTCTGACGCGGCCGCGCCTCCCGTTGCAGGTGGGTGGGGTACCAGTACCCAGGCTACAGAGGTTACCAGTACCTGTTTGAAAAGGGGGAATACAAAGACAGCTCGGAGTTCGGCGCCCAGCACCCCCAGATCCAGTCCGTCAGGCGCATCCGGGACATGCAGTGGCATCAGCGAGGGGCTTTCCACCCCACCAACTAGAGCCCCTCTCCCCTCCCGAGTGCCTGGAAGAGGAAGGGAAGCGAGACGAGCTTTCCCGTGGCCGGCTGCTGTTTTCGATGGCGTTGTTCTCCCAAATGCCACTGTGTGACGAATGCTACTGCTGCTGAAGCAACCGAATAAAGCTTTGAGTATCAAACGCCCTGGCCTTGTGCCTTTTCTCGGGGCCGGGGCCGGGGCCGGGACCCCCTTCCAGCCGGTCTGCCTGGTAGCTCTGGGGGCCGTGCCGGAGGGGGCTGCAGGCCACTATGCAGCGGGGACGGAGGAGAGGCCCGACGGGGCCAGGTGCTTGCTCTCCGACCTTGGGGGGCTCTGTCCTGCCTGCCTGCAGCCCCTGAGAGCGAGGGGGGCTGCAGGAAACAGCAGGAAAACCCATGCGAGTTGCCCCAACCCAAAGCAATGAGGCCTGATGCCACCGGGACTCCAAGGCATACCGGGGTGGGCTTTTTGGCTCTGCCTCACCCCTGCGGTGGGTCCCCAGGCAAGTTCCCGGGGTCTTTGTGCCTCCGCCGTCTTCCTTCTGCACGGATGGCTTCTCACGGCAATGGCGGGAGCATTTTCGGTAGAGCCGACGTGCTCTGCCAGATTCGCTGGACGGCCACTGAGTGTCACTGCAGCCTTGCCGTTCCCCGCCACGTTCCCCATCATGTTGGAGGCATCCTCGTGCCTCTTCGGGGCCGTCCCTCGCAGGCCGCGTCGGTCCTGAGCTGGCCCCTGGCCCAGGACAGAGGTCAGCGGGAGGGTCCTGCTGCTGTGCCTTACGCCTGAAGGGTCCGACGTGCAGGCGGTCTCGGGGAGGCGGTGGGATTGGGGGGAACCGAGCGTGGGACCCCCGGCGGGAGTCACCCCCACTCGCTGGGGACAGTGTGTTGTTATGGGGATGCCGGGTGCTATGGGGAGCCCGAGGCACTGCAGGGGAAGTTTGCAGCCGTCTGATTGCGGTACACGCCGCAGTCACGCAGCCCCCTCTGCACGCGCTGACCCTCGTCCCCTCACCCCGAGGGGGACAGCAGGCACGGGCAGACCTCTCTTTTAAGGCACGAGGCGAGGTGCTTAGATGGCAGCAAAGCAGACTTGGCTTCCACCCGAGCAAAGCTTTGCACGAGGGGACAAGCCGGCGAACGGGGGGCTGGCCCCTAGTCATGGCTACACCCTGTCCCAAGCAGGCCTCACCCACCCACTCCTGCGCTCCGGGTCCTGGGGGGCGAGTGCGATGGGGCTGGGGTCAGGCCTCCTTGGTGCAGATGCCCGGTTGCCCGCGGGGCTCGTGGACCCTGGCGCAGCAGGTGTGCGGCTCTGGGTTCAGCGGCACCAGTGCTGTGGATGGGCAAATGCACCCATGCGCTTCGGGGCTCTTTGGCTGCCCCTTGTAGATGTCCGTCCACCCCCCAGGGATTTATGGCCCTGCAGACAGTGCCCTAAGCCGGAGGGGAGGCTGCGGACAGGGCTGAATCCGCTTCACTCGTCCTGGGTCCGCAGCCTTCCCGCCGGGCGGCTGCCGAGAAGGCTCCGGCCGCATGCCCGAGACCCAGACACGCTATGCCCAGGGCAACCTGCTCCGCGACTAACGCGTCAGCCCCGGGTCCTTGCAGGTGGCAGCGGGCAGGGCTGCATGGAAGTCGGCGGAGACCCGGCGCGGCTTTGCAGCGGCTCTGGGTTGCTCTGCCCAGGCCGCTGACCGGCAGCCACACTTGTAAGACCAGGGTTTGGACACGCGTGATGTATTGGATGCTCGTGAATGGCGTTCCCACGCCAGAGCTAGACCCCGGACGCAGGCCTGCAGGCACCTGGCGGCTCTTCCCCGGCTACGCTGTACGTGTAAATGGATACCAGGTGTCTGCGCGTGCACCCACAAGCATGCAATGCATCTCCCCTGCCCAAAAAGTCATCCCAACTTTTCCGGAGCTTCTCCAAGGCTTTGTCTGAAGTCTTGGAAAGGATCTTACGTAACCCAGGCTGATTCATCCCCCCTCATGACTGCTCTGGCTGGATGGAAACTTCATTGTCTCTGTTTGCAAAGAGCTGGGCTAGAAAGATGCGTGAACTCCGCACCCGCTTCCTTCTGTCTCTGCTGAACAACCAGCATCGCAGCCCAACGCGTGTTATTTTTAACTCAAGTGTCAGAACCGGGCGTAGTGTTTGCTGAAAGGAGCTGCAAAACCGTCGGCGTTCTCCTGCTCCGTTGTCCGAAGCACTCGTGCTTGTGTCAGGCCCCCCCTCGCCGCCGACCTTGTCTGGGATCACGCCTGTCGTCCTCTCAGAGTCGGTGAGTATTCGCAGGCGCTAAGTGCGAGGAAGGCATCTTTCTGTTAAGTGCCTCAGCGCGCCGCAAACGAGACGTCGGCTCTGCAATGCCGAGCGCGACGGCGCCCAAATACTTTCATGAAGCTCGGCCTTAATGGACAGAAGGAGAGGTGGAAATGTAGACGCCCAGAGTCGACACGTGAAGTTTGCAGTCTGCGGGGCAGAGCGCGACGCTGGCCATCCTGCCTGGCCTCTGGAGCCAGGGAAACGTGCGGCGCTCGTTCGGATCGGCCCCGTCCTGCTCCTCGTGCGCTCGGTTGCCTTCCACGCTCGAGCCAAGCGTTTCCTTGTAGCCCGTGTGAAGCATTGCCTCTGATCCTCACTGCCACACTTTTGCATTTTTGCAGGCCTGCATTTTGCATGTGGGCTTCTGATCCGCCAGGCGAGCACATAAAACACCGGCAGACACTCCCTATGCCCGAAGAAGGGTGTTTGCACCTGAAAGCTTGCAAAGAACAATTTTTCCAACTCTTTAGCTGCTCTAATGAAAGGTATCACGTCTACCCAAAGACCCTTGTCTGCCGCCAGCCCCTGAGGACACTCGCGCTCTCTCCTCATTGAAGGACGAGAGCGGAGACGGGAAGAGCAGTGCCACCAAAAGGGGGATGGCAGCGCTGTAGCCCAGGGGCCTGGGCGTCCCCGCTGCTGGCAGGAAAGGCAACGAGGGCTCTGGTAATGAGAGGGGGGCTCTCTTTATGCTGCTATTGCCTCTGGCAGTGGCCTGTTCTGGGTTAAGTGCACGCACACAAGAGCTTTGCTAGCTCCGGAGAGACGTGGCCTGTGACCCCTCGCTGGATGCCGGGGCTCCCGCTGTTCTGGTTTCCCTGCTTTCGCTCCCTCCCTCCCTCTGCACGGGCTCCAGCGTGGTCCCCCCGGCGAGCGAAGAGCAGGTCCCGGGATGAGACCGAGCCACGCGGCTCCGCGCCGAGCCGTGTCTCGTCTTCCCAGGGGCCAGCCACGCGCGCAGCATTGCAGCCGATCCCTTCCTACTGCAAGCGGGAACCTCTCCAAAAAGGAGCGGCTGTGTCCATCTGGGTAACAAATGCTACGCCATCTGCCCTGCCACGCAGGAAAGCCATGGGCTGGATGGGCACATCTCCCAGGTTTCCTCATTACAAAGCTGCCCGAAGGGGCAGCCATCCAGGTTGGGTCTCTGAGAGAAGGACAGATCTCTCCGGGACATTTGCAACGTTCAGGTCATTTCTGGAAGAGAAGATGCTGGACGTGGGGACGCAGCCCTCCCGCCTGCTGACGGCTGTCCCGGGGCACTACGTACCCGTGCGGCAGCAGGAGCCAGGGGCTCTGATCAGGGGCCGTGCAAACTGCAAACGCAGAGAGATGCAACCCTCCCACCCTGCATCCTTCAGCAGCAAAGGCCTGGGGCAAGTGCACACTCCCCTGGGCCACGTCTGCTTATCTGCATACCCTGCCACGCGTGTCTGCGTGTCGGCGCTGCCTTGTTCCCGTGGGCGGGAGGCATTTCTCAGCGGTGCTCCTGGGCTTCGCAGGGAGCTCCCGTGTGCTTCCACCCCCTCCTCCCGCTTCCCCTCGTGTCCTTCACGCGGTCCCTGGCTCACGGTCGCTTGCCTGCTTCGTGCCCGCTGGCGGCTCTGCCAGGAGAACCGCTGAGAGCACAAATGCTTTCCCCTGGCAATTATTCACAGGCAAACGATTCGCAGGGCGGCTGGCTCCGAGCCTCGCTGCCGCTCCGGCGTGGCTCCCTGCTTCGGTGGCTCCCTCCTCAGATCCCGGCGAGGGACACGGGTGCCCGCTGAGCCAGGGGTAGACCCAAACCCCAGCGCATACCCCACGTGCAGGGCCCTGGCCCTTGTCTTCCTCCAAGGGACGGGCCAGTTCCAGCATCTGGGGTAGGAAGTCCTGTAGGCAATGCCTCTGCGGGACTACCCCAGCCAGCTAATTGCTCGTTGCCGCCAGGGGCTGGGCGCGCGCAACTCGGGGTGGTCGCCCGACCGCCGGCTAGTGAGCAAACAGCCAGCTTGCATCGGCGTCCACTAAAACGGTCAGTCCTGTCTCCTCGCTGCTGTCCTAGGACAAACCAGCCTCCAGCTAGCTGACCAGCAGCTCAACACGGACCCAGGTGAGAAATAAGACGAGGGAGCGTCACCCCTGGGACAACTGACCCGGGGTTGTGGTGGATTCTCCTTCCCTGGACACTTCTTAGCTACGGCTGGTTATTTTCCCACAAGGTCCTCAAACCAGAGTCCAGCCCCGTGGGCTCAGCTCCCTCCTGACTCCCGGCTCGCTCGGTTTTGCAGCTCAGGGGGGCTTGAGAGCAATCACTCGTGCTTTCTCCAGGGGCAGGGGCATGCGACGGAGGGCAGAGCATGCGCCCGGGTGGGTACGGAGCATGCTGCTGGCATCTGGACTGTTGCTTTCCGCTCCTGCATGTGCAATGCAGCGGGGTGGCGCTTGCAGAAACGCTGCGGGTAGAAGCCTTCGTTTCCAAGGCGCAGCCTCTCGGGAGGAGGATTTAAACAGAAACCGTCCCCAGGCTCCGGGGAAATGTGCATTTCAGCAACTTTTTACTCAAAAGCACAAGGCTGCCTCCGTCCCACGCGTATTGCCGCGGTGCCATCTGGCGCGCGCTCCCCCCAGCTGCTTGTTTCCTGCTCGTCCTCCCCTATCCCGAGGCACCGGCCTTGGCAGCAGCTCTGCTTCACGTCCTGCTGCCTCTCCTCCCCCGGCACTGCCGGCCCGTGTCCCTTCCATGTTTCCTG